GCTCACCTCCCCACCCCCAACCCTGCGTGTTTTGTGCTGGCAATCACTTGACTTCACTCGCTTTTTCTTTTACCGGTTCAATAATAGAGAGGTTGTGACTAGTCTGTTTGTTTTCATGCTGTACAAGTATACAGGTATTGGGTTTAGAGTAGGTAAAAATCAAATATGCATGTAACCTGGCTACTCGTTCTGTGTAATTACATGTACAGATACATCATGACTGGATTTTCCTTCAAATAGGGGAGGGGATGGTATTGGAAGGAGAATAATATTTTCACATACATGTTCACTGTAATTCTGTTTTGTATGTATGTTCATAATCTTACATTGTACCTTGAACTTTATTTACCCCACAACGCTTGTGTACGTGTAGTTGTCATTGTTAAGGGAGGAAAAAGAACTCAGGCAAACTGTTTTTGCTCACTTTAAGGTGGAAGACGTGGTGGTGACGGTCCCCTTCCCCAAGCAAGTGTTGAATGTAAATCTTACTCCTTCAGGTAGGTACAGAAATGATTTAAATTAATTTACCCCATCTGAAAACATGTGGATAGCCTGAAATGCCAGTCATCTCTCGCCCTCGGGAAAGGCTGAGGGCGGGAGGTGACCGACATGTGGACATTTTGTGATAGTTATTTGAATGCTACTAGCCCTATCGTAAAACGTATAGTACTCATTTCTATGACGCAGTTAACAGGCTTTTATTCTTGTCTTTTTCTCAGTTGGAACATGTTCCTTTGATCCAGTCAAGAAAGAGCTTATCTGGGATGTAAGTTCATTCGATTCCGAATTCTCTGCATTCTTAGTCAAGTGATCTGATGTAGAATAATCGTACTCTGTGAGCGTCTCTGTCAACTTTTTCCCATTTTTCGTCTACATTCTGAAGGATCCGTGTGTAGGTGGCTGTTCTTAATTCTCTTTATTATTGTCAAAAAAAAAAACGCTAATGTGTAGTACTGCGTTTTCTTCATAGATTGGTAAAATAATACCACAAAAGTTACCAAATTTGAGAGGAAATGTAAGTGCAACTTTGAACACTTTTTTGTAAGTTTAGTTGCCAAGTTCGTCAGTAGTGTAGTACAGGAATGTTTCCTTGTGAATCTTACATCAGATTATCTGTCATGACAAATACAGGAAACAAAAGTAAATGTCGATACAATATGAGGGACTGCGTCGAAGTACACTTGTGGAAATAGCTTGTTTATGGCAGATGAAGAAACCACACCAGCCAAACTAAGTCTGTTGACTACATTAAGATTACTGGAACATAGCAATATTCGACATGAATCGTTTTTGTCGTT